CTGTTGTAGAGCCTAACTATGGGTTCTAAGATTTCATTTGTTGTAAGAGACCAAACAGGTAAACAGTACGACGTGGTTGAGAGTATAATGGCATGAAAATAGATATTTTATCAAACAGAAGATGTCAGACTGGATCTAATTTTTGATTAAACGTATAATTTCTGTTTCAACTTAGTGGTTAAGACTTGTACATGATCACGATTAGTCAAATGAGAATCCAAAGTAATTCCAAGATATTTGTAGGTAGTGACAATATCAAGGGGTTTGTTTAAAAAAGTGAGTTGATTTGTTATATTGAAATGTCTCCTAGGTGAGGAAAAATACATGCACACAGTTTTTTAAACATATTTCAAAGGCACAAACCTCTCAAACAAAGCACTACAAAATTCGACTAGTTTGGTTCATTTTTGGTTCATTTTGGAGCGAGCGGGTGGGACAGTGACCCCTGAATGACCCTTACAAATAATCTTTAATATATAAAAAACCATAGCAGCACAAACGACAATTTCTAGTGCACAAACGCGCACAAACGAAGCACTAACCATTCATCATATTTGCCTTTTTTTTGTGGTTCATTTTTTGGGATGAGTTGGCTTCACTCAGCTGACAAGATCTGTTGTAAAAGTCAGAATTCATTGTTGAGGTTCATCATCAACCTAGATCAGTCAGGAAGTGTGACAAGCCACGACTTTCAAACTTTATCATTAAAAAGCAAACAAACAAACAAACAAACAAACAAACAAACTACTGTTTGCATCTTTGTCACCTTAATGTGAGCAAAAGTCTCATATCTCAGTTTGAGCTACTAATTCAAGTATACCTTAGTTTCCTTTTTAATCTTTCTATATGTACTGAAAACCCTTTGAAGATGTCACCATATTTGTCATATTAGTCACAGTAAAACACTTTCTTTCAGGTGAACACRGGTTCCACTATTGTTTTCCTTGTAGAAAATGATCTTAAGTTTCTATATTGGGAGGACTTGAGGGGTTTTCCATGGTGACATTATTAGTTTCAGACCCATTCATCCTCCTTTGAAAGACATTCTTTCACAGAAGGTTCGGGACATTCCATTGTTGTCTTTGTTTCCTGAATCAGTTGCTCAAGGCTACAGATATGGTGACCAACAACTAGTATCAGTATGATTAACCATGTTGACTTAATTTTGTTTTTATTTGACTGGAGTTAAATCAATTAGGTTGAGGCAGCTATTAAAGCACATTTGAAGCTGCTTTGTTCACACTTTTTAAAGTTTTGACWAGCAGATCCTGGTCACATGCTCATTGTTTGCTCTCTTGACTGCTGCTATTGCAATTCAGAGGAAGGGCAGAGGGAACAGTAGAACTGTGCCCATGTTTGCATTTAAAAAAAAGATGCTCCGGACATGACAGACTTTTGTGTCTGACAGTTGGTATAACTGGCCACAAATCTCTGGGATAAAATATGTCATGAACTTTCTCATACTATTGGCTAAATTCCACATTCATGCCTGCAAATTTGCAAAACACAAACCCAATCTCATTGTTTTTAGGGCCTATCTGAAATGTTTTTTGGACTCACTGAATTCCTGCAAGAACACTGAAGCTATTAAACTAAAAAAAATATGTGATGAATTGAAGCCATAACATTTTATTTTGTCTTCTGTTTTTTTGTTTCTGCATATTTTGTTCTTGTTACTCTTTTTCCTCTAGTACATTATTGTTTATGATTGTATATTGTTGTGTTGTAAATAAAGTTTATTTAAAAAACTGGATACAATAGAGAGGAACGTGCAAGTACCAAAAAAAGTCAAAAGTAAAAAAATAAATAAAAAAGAGGGAAAAAAAACTCTACTTTAGATATTATTTTCTTCTAAGAAGCCAGATTTGTGAAGAAAAAAATCGGAAGCTTAATGACTGAAATCTCGTATAAAGATTGCAAGAAAATTAATCAAGTTAGAAGTAAAATACAGAGAAATATTTAGTTGCTTTTATTACAGATTTCTGGTGTACTGCGCCTTTAAGAACAACCGGAAGTGCTCGTTCTGCACCGGATGTACAACTTATTCAATGTGACCTGCTCAGTGTCGCKAATGTTGTGTTATTCTCAACTAAAAACACTCAAACAAACCATTTAAAGCCTACAGAATGTTTCTTACTACAGTGAACWGTGAGTATTTACGTTTGCGCAGAGCGTAGTCTTAATAATAATGATTCCGGTTTGTTTTCTGTCTAAAATTACTGTTCTGTGTCGTCGTGTTTGTTTTTCAATGTGTTTTGTTGTCTGTGARATTAGATTATATCAAAAACGTAATGCTGTTGTTGTTGTTTTTATTGTGTAAGGTTAAGCTTATGTTGTTAAGTAGTCCAGGTTGGGTTGCTCATGTTTCAGAAAACTTGCAGATGAGCAAACTATTTTAGGATTTATGAATATTTACAGGACTAACAATGTGAATATTGCACTAATGCTAAAATAATACTGCTCTGTAAATATGCTCATTTTTGTGAAATATTTCTACTAGCACARAGTGCCTTAAGTCTTTTACTTTAAATTCACGTTCTTTATTTTATCCCCCCCAGTGGCTGCGAAAGCAAAATCCAAGTAAGTGAAGACTATATATATTTTTTTGAGTTTACTCCTTTAATTACTGCCGTGTTGMGTCATAATGTTGTTTTTACTGGTATTTTCCTCCATCAGGTACATCCTGGTGCAGCTGGTCAGTGCTGCTGGGACTGGATACACTGCCAACAGAGTAAGACTTCGTCTTGCTGAAAAACTGGTGATGCTTAAGCACGACCCAATTGGTAAGATGCTGTGACATATTACCAGCAGAACCGAGTCAAAACTTTAAATCAGTGCACTTAAAAATGGTATGAGCTTAAAATTGCTCCTTTTTTTGTAAAGCATGTAGTTTTATAGATCAGACAGAGGGATTAAAAACAAACTGTAAGCAGAAATGGGAAAATATTTTCATTAGATTTATGAAATGTACAGTCCAAAATGCAAAAAGAGGTTAAGAGAGTGAAATATTTGTACTTCTATTAATTTTGATATATTACAGACTGCATAACCCAAAGCTATTTCATATTTTATCAGCTTAGTTGTATATTTATTCATGAACTATAGACTTGCAAAGCTTTACAAAAACAAGTCAAGCTGAACTTTGGTTACATTTGTGAATGTAGAATCTGACCAAGTTTTCATTAAGCAAAGCCYTGTCCATTGGTTCTGTCAGTCATCTACTTATCAATAGTCCTAAAATCTTGCCTAACAAATCTTTTAAGTGGAAATATGCAGCCTTAAAGATTAAAAAATAAAATAGGAATCTCTTCACTTGTCACATTTTGCAGTTTAAATTTTTTTTCCGATTTAGGGTTTTAGCTTCTTTTACTTTTAAGTAATTACATAAGTGCATGCAATACACTTGTGAAGCACTAGATCAGCGATAAGGAAGTAATTTACTCATTAGACGGGTCAAGACTGTCGTCATCACTTTAATTGTAAAGCTGTGGGAACACTCAACAACTACTGGCTGCGTTAACCAATGAAAACTGGGATATTATTTCTACTCGCAGAGCTYCAACAGAATGTATTAAAGATATCACAGCGCGCTGACTTTCTGAAATATGACTAAGTAATTGGTATGTTTGTTTTAAATACAATGCAAAGATGACATGCAGGTAAATTGACACCAGAAGGCAACATCACAGCAAATTCTGTTAAATGCATACCATAAAAGTGAACTTTACCTTTATTGAAGTTATGTTTCTGAAGTGTATTTTTGCATGAAGAACAATAATGTTACCATGAATGCATATGATATATTAAACTTAGTGCTTCTAAATGTCACCATTGATTATTTTTTTCTGCTTTTTGTCTTTGCAGTGAATAAACATGTCCTTTTCCATGAGAAGAAGAAGATCAGATCAGTTTAACATTGCTCAAAAACACATGAACACTGTGAAATATTGCACAAGGCATCAGTCAAAAAGATTGGCTGTTGAGTTCAGAGGCTTCTTGAAAAATCTACAGCCCTTGAACACCGAGATGCAAACTGAGCTACGTCAACTCTCACTGACGCCTCAGTGAAGATACGTTGACAGAACATTTTGAGGACCATGTATTAAATCTTTAAAGTTGGTTTACACAACGTTTGTAAGACTTAATTTTATTTTGTGGCAGTTCAATAAATCATGTCAACAAGTTTACAACTTAAGTGCTTTTATTGTGAATTCTGCTCAGCAGCCCTCACATGTATTGCTTTTTTTTCTTGAAAGCAACTGTAGTTTTAAAACTGTTCAGGTCAGTCCAGCCTTGGTCCATTAGTCTGGGTTTTTGTGCAATTTATCTCAGAACAGTTCGGCCGGCAGGTCCTTTTTGAATGGGAATGATGTCTGCGTGCCGGCAGCCTGCACGCTCAGCCCAGATACCTGATTGGCTCTTTGGGCCATCTCCTCCAGAGGCATCGTGGGATGATGAGCCATGTAAAAGGCCAGAGCGCCAATAAAACTGTCTCCAGCTCCCTGCAGGGAAACAATATCAAATTTAAAAAGCATTCAAACCATTAGTATTACTTCAATTTAGTAATCAAGTTGATCTTTCAGCAAGGAGTAATATTTAATCATTTAAATTACTAATGAGCTTTTGACAGTTACTAAAGCGCATGCTCAGAATCAGTCTTCTGCAATGCTTTATGGTCTAGATATGGCCTACATCTACTGATGTGTCAGCTGTGCTCTGCTGTCATTCCAGCATCTGATTATATTGCATTTTGGGGAATAAACTAATGCATTTGTATATAAAAGTAAAAAAAAAAAATACTGGAAATAGCTATGACCCTATTTGAAGTAACTATAAAAAGTTCAACTGACAACCGTGTTTATTTGCAGCGTACTGATGGAAAAGCTAAATGCGGTTCAAAGTTTCTTGTTTTCCAATTACAGTGCAAGTTAAGTTGGGTGAATGCATATCTTTGGGTTGGAGTGTAAAAAAAAGTTATTTACAAAGAAGCTAAAAAGTGCACCTTCCTCAGTTTCTTGTTGAAACCAAAATGTTCACTGAACAGAATAATTGTATAATGTAAATTATTGCAGAAAACTGAAGTTCATGGATATTAGATGAAATTTACTCCAACAATCTTTACTGTGTTGCATAGAAACCATAGCATTTAGGCTATGTGCTGTATWGAAGTAATAAAATGGTTGTAGTGAATGCATTTTTTTCTTTTTAATCAAGCCTATTCTGCCTCTGCATGATTTTTTTCTCTGATTTTAGTGACTTTCAACAGACTCTAAAAGTTGAGTGTTTTTTAGTGTATTTTTGTTGTTTTACATATTTTTTCTTCTACAACTTGATTGTAGAACTTTGAGATTTTTGTTAATGAAAAGTGCGTTACAAATTAAATTTATTATTATTATTA